AGAGGCATTTAGACATTGGGTCTAGCCTCTGCTCAGAATAGGAATTCAAATTAAAGCATCTCTAACATTTGTCTATCTTCATCCTGCTTGAATAAAACCAATGAGATGATTATTATTACTTCTCTGGGAAGCTGGTTCCAGTGTAAAACCTGCTTCTACTGACAGGTTGCTTTGAATGTTCAGAAGAGTTGAGAAGCAAGCAACCCTCTCTTTGTTCTTTAGAGTAGCTCACTATGTACAGTACCTACAGTTTTGAAGCTTTTTCTATTGATCTCAGTTAAAATCAGATGTCAATTAGAACAAACTTGCTTCTCAAGAAAGTTATTTCAGGTAGCGAAATGTGTGCCTAATGCTGATCCCTGTTTTGAGGGAAGTTTTATAACAACTGAAACAAGGGAATATGGGCACATAGTTATTGGCTGAAAGCTAACTTTCAGCCCCAAGGCCTCATACATATTTTTCTTTCAGATAAATCCTATTTTTCTTGGAAACTCCAGATAAAAAATAAGTAGTGTAAATGGGGGTTCTCCAGTGAGATACCCCGAAATAAATAATTATTGCCATAAATTATAAAAAGAATACACAAAGATGTCATTTAAAGATTAATTGCAATGCAGCATATTTAATATTAAGCCAGCATTATATCTGACCCAATTTACAAATAAAAAACTTCAGAGGAATTCCACAGATCCTCCACAAATGACTTCAGTCTTTCTTGCTTTCAGCCAGCAAAGCAATATCATCAGCATGTTCATTTTTTCAGCAATTTGATTTCTAATTTCTATTTCTCTCTTGGATCAGTTCTTTTTATACTATAATATATAGGCATGTTGTATACTTTAATGCATATGTATGTAAAGAGTAACATTTAGCACACTCCATTCCCAATTTTCAACCATGTAGTTGCTCCAAATGTTATTTTATTACTTTCTGATCATCAGACAAATTCTTTATATGTCGTTTGGTACATAGTTTTAAAGAGCTACCCATATTTTTGTTATGTTCTAGTTGAAATTGATTTGTATAAAGCAAAATCAGATATTATACTGGAACTTGCCTCTTCCGTTACTCATCAGATGCTAGCAATGTGATCTTTGGCATCCTGCTTGTTTTGAATCAGCTTATAATTCAAACAATTCTTTTTCTCTATACTGTTGAAAGGTGGATTGGAAATTCTTCAGCATAATCTCACTAGCATGTAGGATATAGTTATTCAGCAATGTGAACATTATTCAGCATCCTTTTTTTTTATATTGAACTATAAGTTGATCTCTTACAGTCCCTTGGCAGTGCTTTTCTTTTTTCTATCCCTGCTTGAAAATTGCATGCAGTATTTTTACAACGAGTACTTTACTGTTGTTAGGTTCATTTAGCTCTAGTTCAATGATCAACGTTTTATGTATATCATCAATTTTGGAATTTTTTTGCACAATACTTTCCATATTGTTGTTTTTGTTGTCCTTATTATTGTTATGTATTAAATCAGAAACTGCTTGACCCAAATTGACTTTGGCTATTACATACATATTTTCTGTGATTTTTTTTTGTACATCTTTTATCTTCTTTGAATTTTCCCATGCCTGTTTCTGCACAAATAGTTTCTGTATTTTTTTTTAAAAAAACTCAATTCTCCTGCCCATTATATTGTCATCATCAGTTGTTTTCATTGTTTATTTGGAAATAACACCTTGTATGTTCTATCTCATCTCTAGAACCTTCTGAGCAAATTTTCCTGTTTTATTTTTTCTGCCTTTCTTCAGCTACTTCCAGTTTATCAGTAAATAGATAGTTTGCTGTTCGGAATATTTTTTTTGCTTTGTCTTTTATGATGTCATATATTTCAGGATATAGTTTCTCAGGAAGCCTATGTAATAAATATAATAACCTAAAACAATCATTTATCTTCTCAGCATAACCATATAGATTACTGTTAATCTTGTTTGATCATTTAAGTTGTATATTTTCAAGGGTTAGGGTATAGATTAGAGATAACGCAGACTAGGTCTTGTTTCTTCTGAATGACTAGACCTACTCCATCTTTGTCTCCAGATTATATAATTAATGTGATTTTGGGGAAAACAAACTGGTATGTCCATGTGTAGAGATATCTTTTTGTCAGATGGCTGACCAAGAACCAGGACCATGTATTAAGTTCCAGTTAAGCTGATTTATTCCTCATGCCTATACATAAGAATCTAGTCAATTAATGGTCAGCACTAAATTGGTGCTAGATAAGAGTTAACGGAATTCAAGAAGGGTTGGACCTGGACAGCTTGTTGGAATGCAATGACTAGGCTGATTTCTTGTCTGGCTCCACCCCCAGACTCTGCCCCTCCTTCTCCTATACTTTTAGATGTATTTGCTATAAATACTAGATTTATAATCTTTCTATAATAACTCTATAAATCTGTTTCTTATTTAATATTAATTTTAATTCTATCTTTATGTTTATCTGGAATATGTTGATTTGCACTAAGATTTTTCTGCAGTCATGTCTCTGTCTTGTAGGAAATTATACAAATGGGTGTGTGCAATTGGCTGGCCACCCTATGAAATTTCTCTCTCCGCCAACTGTCAAGTAAAGGTATGACATGTTCTGCCTACTTATCCAGTTCCTCTGATCCCACACGCATTAGGTAGTAACTCCATTGTACGGGAGAGTGTAATGGTGGGAAAGGAATCCAGGAGTTAAGATTATCCCGGGCAGCCCATCATATGCTAACCTATAAGCAAGTAGCCAAAATAACAAACTCATGTATACTGGATATAGAATGACAAACTAGTTTTGCTTACTAACCTAAACATCTTAACAATTCAGCCCCTATGTGGAAACCAGCAAGTTCCTTGAACTGTACAACAATTCATAATTTAGAAAGTTCCTCACTGGACTTCTATGATGTTCTGCTTCTTTTCTTGGAAGGGAAATTTAGAAGAGTCTTTTATAATAACCAATTATTTCTTTATGAATTGAATACAGTGGAATCCCGAAACCATGTTTCATTATACTGCCTCTTCTCTATAGAAATTAAGAACAGGTATACTGCACCTCTTTTAATGGACTTTTCCAGGATGTATGGATCTTTTTTAATACTCAACTATTGCTAGCTGATCTATACAAACCTACAGCTCTGGCAGTTGCCAAATTCTGCTTTGTTATCTTTAAGATAAAAGGCTAAATTCTGATCCATCAGGAGAACAATCTTGCCCCTGGATAAAAAAATTCTAATCCCTTCCTATTTATCACTTTTCTTTTAGTTGACTTTTAAAAAAATCACAAAGAAAACATTGTTATATAACATCCTTATTTCTGATTCAATGTTTGAGTGAGATTTTTAACACTTGTCTATCCACTGCATATTGTGTGACTTGAAGATTTTCTGGATCTGGATTTTGCATGTTTCACCCTTCATATCCATAGAGCATTGCTGAAGAACCATGGTGCTGAAGGTGCTTCTTCTCTCATCTTGAGGTTCCCATCTTTTCATATACCGTATTTTCTGGCGTATAAGATGATTTTTGAGAGTGTTGAAATCAGCGCCGAACTCGGGGGTCGTCTTATACGCCGAGTCGTCTTATACGCCGGAAATAATGGTAGTTTCCGGCGTATAAGACGACTTTCTAGGCATGCGACTCGGCGTCGAAGTTGGGGGTCGTCTTATACACCGGGTTGCCCTATACGCCGGAATATACGGTACTAAGGCCAAATTTTTACATTATTTAGGATGCCATTTTAGTTGTCAACTTTGGCATTCCTAGCTTTTGCTATTAGTGAGTTGCCTTTTGGGGCGTGCTGATTACAAGCTGTTGCAAGCCTTATTAGACCTGTTTAATCTATTGTTGCAGCACAGATTTGATCCCTGTGGCTTATTTCAGATTCAAATGAGAAGATTCTATCCTCCCTCCCTTCCTCCGTTTGTGTGTGTGTGAGTGACAGAACAGTGACATTAATAATGATGCCCATCCATCTTTTCTATGATTTTCTTCTCTTCCTGTAAGGTTTGATGATTCTCTGATGTGAATTGACCAACTCCATTTCATTTGACTTTGCTAATAAACTAGAATGTCAATGTTCAAAGACAATAACAATTATATTTTGGTTCATGGTTGCCTTATCAAGAGCTGCATACTCTTTCAGCTTTAATCCAATCATAGCATGAGCAGAGGTAGTAGTTGTATTTGTCTTCTGCCATTTTCAATAGCTTTTAAATACATTCTGATCTAAAAGACAAATTCCAATATCATGTGGACATTCTTTTGTTTCTTAATGTCCATTTATTTTTCTTTCTATTTTATCTCCAGTGGGATTGTGTTTTAGTGTTTAGTCCATGGTCTATGACTGGCCTATCATGCAGGATCTTTAAGCGTATAACCTTCCCATCTGGCTTCTGACATGCATAGTCAATGGAGGAAGTCAGATTTGCTTAAAAACTGCATGATTCACTTAATAACTGTGACAAAAAGATTTTAAAATGGAATGCAACTCATTTAGCAACTGTCTTGCTTAGCAATGGGAATTTTGGGCTCAATTGTGATTGTAAGTCAAGGACTACCTGTAATTGGGATCTGCAAGTTCCTACAACCCTGTTAGTTTTCAGCAGTGTTAGAGTAAAACTGAGGAAGTCTAAATTCAAATTAAACCAGAATGAAAGGTATACAGTAGAAAAACATTAATCTGTCTTCTTTGTTGGTTCATTTATTCCTCTTATTGTATTGTATTGTATTCTTTTGATTTGTGCTTTTGCAAGATTCACATTAGATTCTGCTATAGGACAACTTGTTGTTTCACAATTCTTTTTGTTGAAATTTTTAAATGTGAGTCAATATGTTAAGATGAAATAAAATCTCAGAAGATATCCATCTTCTTAATAGGCCCCTCAAAATTAATTTTTAGCCAGCAATTATAATTTTTTATGGAGAAACCGAGATATATGTACATACTCAAGGACCAATGATGGCTTACAAAACAGCAACTTATATATTAAAAAAGAAATCATTCTCACCTGTAGAAGTATGAACACCCTCTGACTGTGTTGTGAGTGAAATGTTCCTGAGTCTTCTCATTTCCAAAGTCCTCTAGTGGATCTGACCAGAGGATGTCACACATAGGTCCATATGCAGGTGGTTCCTTGAATCGATCTAACTGAGAGAAAGAGAATATAAAGAGAAAGGCTAAGGGCATGTCTGGATCAGGAGAAACAAAACAACTTTTGACTAAAATTATATTAGCATTTGTGCTGCCATCTTGAATTTATACAGTACATATCTATCTTAACTACAATTGAATCTTAAAGTCACAAGAAAGTGGTTGTAATAATATAGCTGTACAATGTTGTAGCAATTCATGATGGTACAAATTTTATGACATTATATATGTAGAGTACCTTACTAGGTTGTCACAGTTGATGAAGTTGACACAATCTCTGGGGATTGGTATACTACAGTTTTTATATACTTCAGATATTGACCTCACAACATTACAATATTCTCTACATACAAAATTTTGAAGGAAAGCAACAAATTACAAAAATAAATGTTGAAGATATTCACACTAGACTGAATATTTAGACATAATGCTTCCCTGACAAAAGGATATGCAGTCCTACTACAAGAACAGCATGACAAAATATCACAGTTATATCATAATCTCAAAAAAAACATATTAATTAGAGTATTCCCTGCAACTGTTGACATATCAGCCTGTCAGTAAGTAGATAGCAGCACCTACACACAACACCATAGTCACCTAGCCATACGCTGCTTCATCCCATTACAAATAACATATTTGGAAAACCCTTGGTGAATAACATGTCACATACAATGTAAATTGTTCCATGAATTAAAATACTTTGAATTTCTATTCCTAGGATACTGTAATCAACAGACCAACATAACCAGAATTTTCTGAAACTCAAATGGATTCATGCATTTTAACCACTATTTTTACTTCAGTTTTTATGCTGCTCTATTAAGGGTCTGAGCAGTTTATACCAACCAGTGGAATTAAAAGCAATAATCCATAAAATAGTAATTATTGTAACCCAATTCACCATCTTTTGCAGCAGATAATTTGTCATCCAACTGCAAATGCTGTCCCGAAGACCCATCTCTTTACAGTTTTTCCACATAAAATTAGGAAGGGACAGAGTGAATATCTGGAACAAGCTGCTCCATACCAAGGGGCCAACAGTGAGTTTTTTCTCTGACATTCCCTTGATGGTAGGATTCTCATTAAGTCTCTTCTTCTTACTAGACAATAAAGTTGCAATATAGAGAAGGTAGATTGAGAATACAGGATTGTGCCACCTCAGATTTTCATTTGGATGATCTTTCCCAACAGCTACATATAGCTCTTTAACAGCAGGGTGAAATTATGCCACTTCTCTTCCCATGACTGCCACTGGTCATTCAGACAGAAGTGATTCTCAATCTCTACAGATAGCTGAGAAGGCTTCATGGTGAATGGGACTGAAGTCTGCTGAGATATTCAGCAAGACCAGGAGGACTGATTTCCTATGCTCCTATCAAAGGTCACATACAAGAGTAACTAATGTACGTTCCATTCCATCCAGGCCATATTTAGGGCTAAATTCTGACTGATACTTAAATCACATTGATATAAAATGAAACAATTTTTATAAACAACTGACATTAATAAAATATTCCTAAACCAGAAGCAATTTTATTCAGCCTGAAAAGTAAGCACTTAATACTAAAAAAAATAATAAATCAAAGAAGGCTTCTACACTATTTACATTTTGTATGAATTAAACCAGGGGTCCCCAACCTATGGTCCACGACCTGGAATCAGGCTGCAGACTCTTGGACAGTGGGCCACAGAAATGGCTGGCTGGTGCACAAACGTGTGGATGTGTATTCCCCCTCTCGTGCTAGCACCTGTGGCCATTTGCCCATGCGCGTGAACAGGAACGCTAGCACGGGGTGGGTGTTTGCAGCCCGTTTACGCATGTGCCACTAGTTCAGATGCTTGATGCAGCCTGTTCACACATGTGTGAATGGACCACTAGTAGCCATGGGGGGGTGTGGCAGTTCGTGCATGCACATGGTGCCAGCGCATGCCATATGTGAAAACGGGGCTGCTAGTGTCGCCTCAGTGTGCATGGCCCCGTGCACACATGCGTGTACCAACTTTGAAGCTGCTCTCCTTTATTCCGGTCTGCGAGACCGGAAAGGTTGGAGACCTCTGAATTAAACAATGGGAATAACAATATTACAAAAAAAAGGTAAAGCACTACAATTTATTTCAAGCAATTTACATGATTTTTAAGGCCAGTCATGGCATAATCGCCAAAAAGATGCTTCCAAATCTGAATGAATTCCCATCTAGAGCATATAGTGAAATTATGAAGTGTCAGAGTGAAAGGTTGTGCTGGATGACAGTACAGAATGCTGAAAAATCAACATTAAGCCAGTTTGCAGCTGTATTGACTGAAAAATTTGGACTCTGCATTGCAAATTCATCTTGGGGAATGTGGCATTTCTATTTGATAACTTACCTCCACATAAGCTTTCTATTCTTTCATTGATCAGGGGAAAGTATAGAGGAAATCAATTCCATCAACTGAATAACTCCCTAGGTACATATTAATAATAAAGCTCTTTAATTCTATTTAAACCAGAACAACATTTAAACACTGATGACTCACTATAAATAAAATCAGATCTGCTTGGCTTTAGCAACATAATGAAGAAATATTCTGTATAAAGAGGACATCCCTTGCTGAATGAAATTATGAAATTATTTTCAGTTTCCCCTCCACTTTAAATCCTTTGCGACTGCTAATGTTGAGGTTTATCTTTTATGCACTTTACTTTTGCATCTTGGCATCTGACAGATGAGATAAGGTTGACAACATCCAAAGCAAATAATTGGGAAACTTTAAGATGCACATCTTCAATTACATGTTTTATCCCCAGCTTTTAGACTACTGTTGTGATGGAACAGCACGACTTTAATACGCCAAATGATATATTAAAAATGAAAGAGTTTTCAAAAGAATAAATAATTGCTAAAAGACAAAAAGGCCATTATCTGTAATTCCTAAAATTATTTTTAATAAATCTTGAAACCGGTTAAAATATAGTATAGAGGATGTGTACTCTTATTAAGTACAGTATACTTCATTGAGTCCTTGTTGCAAACTACCATTTAGGCTGTGATAATATAGTTACTTAGGAAAAAACTGAACTTTTAATGCAGAATCTAAAATTACATGGCATCCTCTTTAGTAATCTATGTCAACTGAATGTGCTAACTTAGATCATAACATAACAGGTTTCTGGAAACCTATTTAGTAATAAACATTTTACCCTGATCCAGAACAGCCACCCCAGGTGTATATACAAGCAGTATTTTGGATACCTGCTCTCCAAACTTACTTTTCTGATGTCATCTAAAGTATTGATCTCAGGGGACAGGCCACCATGCACACATAGAAACTGTTGGTTCATCAGAGCAGCCAAGGGAAGGCAGTCAAAGGCATCCATGCAGGCATCATACACACGTTCTGAATACTTTATTTTACCTTTTGTAATGGTAAAAAGAATAAAAAATGAAAATAAAGAAATAGAAATAAATAAAAAGTTGGCCAAGAATGCTGGTTTTGCTAGCTACAGGTATCAGCTATGTTGTGATATTAGTATTAACAATGAGTCGATCTTATGACAATGACTATCTACATAAATAAAATAATTGAAATATTTTCTGTACAGGTAATCCTCAACAATTGAGCCCAAAATTTCTGTGGCTAAGCAAAACAATTGTTAAGTGAGTTTTGCCCTATTTTATGATCTTTCTTGCCACAGTTGTTAAGTTAGTAACACAGTTGTTAAGTGAATATGGCTTCCCCATTGACTTTACTTGTCAAAAGGTCACAAAAAGTGAAGACATGATTATTGAACACTGCAATCCTCATAAATATGAGCCAGCTGCCAAGGGGCTGAATTTTGATCATGTGACCATGGGGATGCTGCAATGGTTGGTCATAAGTCACTTTTTTCAACACCATTTTGTAACTTTTAATAGTCACTAAATGAACTGTTGTAATTTGAGGACTATCTGTATATGCAAACATTTCTTCTCAGTGTATATGAATTTAATGTCTTCCTTGATCTACTTTGGGTATCATATGGAATATGTTTTGTTCATGTGAAATATTTGTAGTTCATTTTGGTGACTTAATTGGGATAACTTGTTTGGGTTGTACATGCTTTGTAGATCAATTGTAGATTTTATTCTTTTTATATTTAGCTATAGTGCATTTTCTGCTTGCCTATTAACTTTAATAATTTCCAGTTTTTTAAAATAAATTTTGTTGAGTTAGTTTGAGTAACATAGTGTAAAAGCATAATAAATTAAATTTAAAATTATGTAGGAATAAGAATTCATTTCATACATTGTAAATAAATCTTTAAAATGTGTTAAAAGCTCCTACTAAAGGCTATTAATATTTTTTAGTCAATGCAAAAGTTTCTTTCCAAAAACTAAATTTCTTTATATATTCCATTAAGCATTCTCCCATCCCGTTTAAGGGTAGGTCAGTTTCCAAAATCTCCCCTCTGCGTTTTTCTAATTATCTTGCACAATCACAGCAATAAATAAGTTAGAACATAAAATTAATATGAAATGCTAATTTACAAGTATGCATAGTAAAAAAGCAATAAATTATGACACAGTCAAGTAAATTAACAGACCTTTCATTCTCTGCTCATAAACTAAATACCACTGTACACATTTCCATAGGTCACAGATCCTCTAACCACAGCAGATTTTGATGCAACCATCAAATGAGACAGAAGCAAATAGGAAAAAAAGTAGGTAGAAAACAGTAAAGATTAGAGTGGAAAACCAACTCTTCAATGTTCTTTTCTTCAATTTAGGAGAGAAGTACAATTTAGGCTAAGGTCAAATGCATCCTTTCAACATTTACTAATTTCCATGACTGCAGTCCCCTCATCTTTTATTTGAGATCAATGAAATTGAAATATAACTGCTGTCCCATCTGTAATAAAAAACATTCTACTGCAGATGTATGTAAGCTGAGTTTTAGTTTTAGGCTATTTTATAGATGCGTTTGGATAATTTTGGAAATAAGAACAAGTTGCTTTCAGAAACTCCATCCCTGTTCGCATTCCACCACTGGAAAACATAAATGGATACATTTCTGAAACTTTGAGAAAACATGGAAAACCAGGAACTATTGTGCTCAAAGAATATGGAGCATAACTGAGTCAAAATAAACTCACAGAATTTTGATATAATTTCAAGAACTATAATCACACTGGAAGATCAAGGAATGAATGTTTTTAGATGGCAACTATCCATGAGCATTTCTGAAAAATCTAAATGCATGTTTTAAAAATGGTATTTAGTTTATCTGTTTTATTCCTGAATGAGATTTTTAACACTCTCTTAAAAAGGAACAGAATCAAAAGAAGACATTCTGAGTCATACTTACATTCTTGTTTAAATGTGAAGTACTCTGTTAAATGTCTACATTCATGATTCCCACGCAGTAAAAACAGTGTTTTGGGATAAAGAATTTTCAAGGCCCACAAATAAAGCACACACTGAAAAGGGAAAAAAGGTAGAAAGGTGATCAAGAATGAACATTCAAATTTGTTTTATACAGCATACATATGAAATATTAAATTAATCATGTTTTATGATATGTAGAAGCTTTTCTAGGCTTTTAGATACTATGCACTTGTTCTATTTGCTTTAGCAAAGTCCAATACCTCATGAATTTTTAATATATTTACTAACGATAGACAAGCCATAATTCTTCCAGAAATGTTGTTTTCATACTGAAAAAATGATTGAACTTGATAATGTCATATCCATACACAAAGATCAGTTCAGCTGGTAGGGATGACATTCACAGAGAAGAAGGGAACAAATACTCTTCTTCACAATCGTTGCTTTATTTAAGAAAACAGACAAACAAACAAACCTTAATGTTTGCTACTTTAATGAATAACAGCCAAGTTATCTTTGTCATTAGCTTGCATTGCCTCCTATGCAGGTGAGAATTTGACCAATGACTCCTTTGATCTAACTCAGTGGTTCTCAACCTTTCTAATGCCGCGACCCAATAATACAGTTTCCCATTATGTGGTGACCCCCAACCACTTATACATCACCGGGTGCCAGGGGCGTGGCCAAAGAAAAGAAGAAAAAAATGGCGGACAGCCTTGTTTGGCAACCCCCGTGAAATGGTCATTCGACCCCAAATGGGGTCCCGACCCACAGGTTGAGAACCACTGATCTAACTGCTTTGATAAGCTTACAGGAATTACCATACACTAAATAAATGAGTAAATAGTTTATAGGAAAAATCAGAGTTACTTTGGCAATTTCCTCCATTTGTTTCAGCTTATAGAGGACCTGGATTTTCAGTTTTCTTAAAGATTTACAGCTAGTTCACTTTCAGAGAGATAAACAGAATGGGTTTCTGTGTTTGGGTAGGCTGGGTCATATCCCCTACAGCAGACATGTCAAACTCACGACGTCACGTGACGTCGCGCAACGTATCGGAGCTTTTTCGCCATTGCCGGCAATGGGGTGGGCGCGGCTCCGGTATGATGAAACCGGCTCACGGGCCAGCAGTTTGACACCCCTGCCCTTCAGAAATCCTACAAGATCAAATGGAGCTTAAACAAACAGAAAAGCTTAATCAAAGAAAACGGCTCATTTCAATTAAAAAGAACAAGAAAAAGGACTTTTTGAAATAATTTTCTTGTAAACAACTTTAAAACAAATTTGTTATTATTTATTTAACTCCTTGAGAATAAATGTGGACAAATACATCCCACAAGCCCCTTTTGATAGATGATGCTTATTAACACTTCCTTCAACAGTTATATCAAGTTTAGAGAAATCTCAAGAAATAATGAAAATATCCAGAAATGGAATATTTTACACATTTTTACAAGTATAAAAATGCTAACAAGAAAAGTGTGGAATTTTGTAAAGCAATTTTATTATTTTTGAGGAAGGGAGAGCATAATTTTAAAGCAGTACTAACTGCTATACAAAGCTAATAACTGGTACACAACGTACCTGATATAGGTTCAGAGGAAAGATCAGCTTCTAACATAGTGAGAGGAATGATTAGGGCATTACAACGCTAAACCCTGGCTGTAGTATATTCACATATAGAAAAGTAGTCTTAAAAATATTGCTCTAAGAAGAATACTGTAATGGCTTGGGGAAACTGATACTAAGGCATATTAAATCATTTAAAAAGATTCATGTAAGAATCCAAATTAGATTGAGAAACAAACAAGCTAAGGATTATTACACAACCATAATTCCATTCAAGTCCAGTTACACAAAGTATGCTTAATTTAGTTTTATAAACTGATCAGTGGTAGAAATTGCTGTACTGTATAACCCAAAGAATTTCCTAAGAATTCTTCTGAAGTATTAATAATAAAATAATAAAAGACGCTACTTGTGCCTATCTGGGCTTATTTCTGTATCTATTACTTCCTATTTAACCCTATATATTTTACTCATAGCAGAGGCTGTATGCGAGTTTTGCAACAAGATACTTCTAGAGGAAAAAATCAAGACTGCATAAACACAAGGTGCTAATGGCTAAGAATGCTGTTTTCAGAAAAGAAGAGGAATAGAAAACTCGGAAGAAAGAGGCAATTAAATGCTAAGGAAAAGGCTAGTCTAGCAAATAAGTCATTTTTCAGTGTGAAATGGGTGGCATATAAATTTAATCCATAAGTAACTTTTTTTAAAAAAAAGGCATACATAAAAGGAAGACACTATTTAGCATCTCTCTTTTTGCAGGTCTACCTATTAGCAAAATAGAAGAATGGGACATTGATAGACCATCTCCTCCCCAGTTCAATTGAATCCAATTGATTTAGTTATTAAATGTCAACAATATCAGATCTTGAAACTCTTGGTAATTATAATCCATTAACTAATTAACTAACATCACCAATAAAATCCAATACATGAAATCCAGTTTCTTACTTTCTATAGACTTGCCTCTAGGTGTATAAGAACCCATTACTCTTCCATATAAGCATTCTACTAGTACCACATATGGTATCAGCAACACTGCCATTTTCCAGAATGTAACAGAACCATCAAATGAACACAGAGAGGAAGCTGTCTTGTGCCATCTAGTTTGATATTTGATCTATACTTCACTTAGATGGACTATATCTTCGCATAACATACACTTTTATTCAGCAATGGAAAGTTCTACTTCTTCTCCATCTGGAAGATCAAGGTCTGGCACAAGTTCTTCATTTACAACAGATGCTAAGCTGAAGATACTTAGCAATATGCAAATTAATATTTTAAAATATATTTCTTTTATTTTTAACAACAGAATGTGAAGCTTCATAATGAAACATCTAAAATCTGTCAACACACTATCATGAGTGAATTACATAGGTCAGACTGGTCTTTCATTGTCTGCTTTTGGAAAGAATATGGGTGGAAAATATGAATGAACCCCAAATCTGGAAGTTTCCATTATTTGAAATGCATTGAGAATGGTACATAACAATAAGGATTATTCTTTAATGATGGGTAACTGGGATTTACATTCATGGATTGAGGGAATGTATTTGCTTCCTGCTTCTAAACTTCCTTTAGAACAGTGGTTCTCAACCTTTTTAATGCCGCAACCCCCAATCGGTCGTAAGTCGAGGACTACTCAACCGGTAGTAAGTCGAGGACTACTCAACTGGTATAGCACCATTTGCAGAATGGGACTTTTGGCAGGCTCAGCAGGGTAGAGACAGCCTGGACAATTCCTATTGGCTTTTGAAAGCCAATAGAATTAGACTCTATTCAAGAGAGTCTATTCTATTGGCTTTCAAAAGCCAATAGAATAAAAGGGAGTAGCACAGCTAAGGAAAAGGGGGAAAAAATGGCGGACTGCGTTGTTTGGCGATCCCGGTGAAATGGTCGTTCGACTCCAAATGGGGTCCCGACCCACAGGTTGAGAACCACTGCTTTAGAAGTTTATATAATAAATAAAAAGATTTATGCATATAATAAAAAGGCTGATCAATATTATTCTATGGATCAAGATTTAATCTGTATTTTTATGTTTGTATTTCTTTGTTTTATCACTTTTTGTTTATTTTTGTATATCAAAACAAGAAAACTAAAGCAAAATAAAAAAGGAAAAACCCAGCTCCAACCTCAAGAATCCCTTCTCTACCACAAAAGAAAATACAATAGCCATAATTTTGAGTTCAGAGGGAAAATAGCCTGTGGAGGTGTTAAAGATGTTTTAAAATTATGGTCACACACGTAAGTTGGGTTTATGCCTCTCCAAGATGAAGGATTATGATTCATTTATTTTGGTTAGCAGACACCAGTTGTTATATTATAAGTTATGAGCTTTTTGTTATGGGAATCTGTAGCTTTCACCTTTCTATTTACAAGACTGCACAATGCAACAATCCAGCAAACATCTGGAAAGTTATAGGTCACTTTTCAAAAAAGCAGGATCATTCACCATCTACCCAACAAAATGGCTATCCCCCAGGCAAAGACTTAGAATATTGTGAATCTATTTCCTTGTCAACCGCCCCCTCTCCCTTAACCTTATTGATTATGATTAGCTCCTGTAAAGATGACATTCTCAGGAGTACTTCCGGCTATGTGGCAAGAAATTGAACTTATGAATTGGAGAAGGCCTCTTCAAGAAAAATGTGTGTGTGTGTGTGTGTGTGTGTGTGTGTGTGTGTGTGTGTGTATATATGTATGTATTCGCGGGTGTTTGTATGTAGGTCTTTGGTTATTCGAGTTTTTTACCGCGTAAAATTGGAAGTGTCTTGGCGACGTTTCGACGAAGTCCCATTCGTCATCTTCAGGCTGGTGTTTTCGGCTTCGTGCTCCTAGAAGCATGAAGCCGAACGGATTTCTTTTTCAAACTCAATTATACTTCGTGTCCCAGACAGATTTCACATGTTGGATATGATACTAAGATATGGGCTATCCTGAACCAATCCTATAGTGTGAAAATAACAATTGCAGGGGAGCCCTAATTTAAAAAAAATAAAAAATATGGTCTTGTTTTTCTCTTCTCTTCTCAGCCTCCCTGACTTCTAAACCCATTCACTTCTCATTAATGCACTGAATCATTTCCTAACATTCTCTAATGGTAAGTTCTCTTTCTTTGTAGTGAGTGACAGCCTAAAATAGTGAAAGACTTTCATCTGTCTTTCCATTTTGAAGGGGTTTTTTTCTATTTCCTTTTGCCAATGACAAGGCAGCAACTCTTCTTTGTATTCTAGTTTATATATGTAACAAACTATAAATCATAACATTGATTTACCACAAATAGATGCCATGAGGCTTAATTAAAAAGTTGTGTCTTCTTTTAAGCTATAGAAAATGTGAGGGTTTTTTTTTCATATAGTGATTACATGGTCCTATTACTAAACTTTTAACAAATATAAAATGTAAAATGTATGTGTAAAATTGAATCTGAAGTGCAATTACATTATGACGTAATAAAAGTTAACAAGTTTTTGGTATTTCATCTAAGATCAAGTCTAAACTCAATGATAGCATTGAGATC